GGGTAGTAGGGGACTATTGTATGTTCAAATGATAGAAAGAATAAAATAACCTAAGATTAAGAGATTTAAAAAATAAAATTGCACTACTGTGGAAGAGATAGGTAGATACTCAAATGGACTATTGACATTAACATCTTGTACGAATAAGAATAAAAGGTGTCTTACAGATTGTGCCTTGCTGTGAATTGCTGAGGCATAGGAGGACAATATCTATTTACTGGTGCCATTGCCCTCCTGCCTTCTCACTTTTGAAAAATCAGTAGTTCTCAATGTTTTAAAGGAAATTTGAAAGAATTTTTTCATTTCTTCCTTCTATCATGTTTTTGGAAGTCCTTATATCCTAAAATGCCTCATATGACATATTTTATGAATTCATTTTCATAACCAAGGAATGTCTGATTGTAAAATAGCTTTATAGCTATTCATAAGTTTCAAATAAAAGGATGGGGAGATATCATAAAAGGGCATTTCATTTTATTTAATTGCTGGCAACCTTGAGGAAACGGCCCTCTGGAACCAGCTGGCTTGTTGACATTTCTCTGCATGTTTGCTTCTCTCTTCCCATCCATTATAAACTGCCTTTCCTGCCCACACACTCACTTGTACATGGCCTTATCATGACCATCTCAGAATGATAGCCTAAGACCTAGAGTCTACATGACTCTGGCTCTTCTTCCCACGATTAGTTTCCTTGTTCTAATTCCAGATTCCCAGGAGAGAGTAATAAATTGCTTCAGTTGTGTTCTGGAGGTAGGGTTGGGAGTGGAAGGTTAGGATTAAATGGCACATTCCTTCCAGGGTGATGAGCAGGGCAGGCTTTCAGAGAGGAAGTTATTGGCATCTCTTGTCTACATCATGAGTAATTTCATTTTTTCTTTTTTTTGTAAAGCCTCACCCAAGGATATTTTCCCATTGATTTTTTTTTTTTTTTTTTTTTTTTTAGAGAGGGTAGAAGGGAGAAACATCCATGTGAGAGAGACATATCCATTGGTTGCCTCCCAGTGATGCCCCAACAAACCCACAACCCAGGTACATGCCCTTGACTAGGAATCGAACCTGAGACCCTTCAGTCTGAGGTCCAACACTCTAACCACTGAGAACACCTTCCAGGGCAGTACTTTCATTTTTTATATATAATGTGAATGTTTACAGAGTAAAGCAAGGGATCTTCTTTTTAGTCTGACAACGTTTCACTTATTTGTGAGTTATGTGAGCACATCTCTCCTCTCTTGATCATGGCAACTTCATTAAGTGATCGCAAAATGAGAACATGCTGATTTCTAGATAGAACTCCCCTAAAGTGAATCTCTGTACTTAAGATTTTATTTTTTAAATTTTACAAAAAATGTTATCAAGTGAAGACTTTAATTCCACTTCATAAAAATTACATGTGACATTGTTTGACATTTATAAATAAAGAAGTTTATTCATGTTACATAGACATTAATGATATTTTAGGAAAATCATTCTTGTTCTATGTACATTTATAGTATTGCTTCTTGTATAATTGTAAAATTTGAAATCCTCTTAGCATGCAGAATAGGTTATGATATACTGAAGGATTAAGCTTCACTGTCTTGTGTCAGATTAATCCCTCATATATAGATCAGCACTTGAACTGACAGAAGTATGGCTGCAATTCAGCAAAGAAGGCTCAATGGATAAATAATTTTATGCAGGATGAATGACATGCTTCTTGACTGGTTGATGTATACGCCTCCAAATTAAATTTAAATAAACATCACAAACATCTTTTTCTCAGACTTTCATAGAGATTTATGGAAAAGATGCCTGACGATTTATGTGGTGAAATAGTGCCATTAAATATTTTTTGGATTCTTTCTACTTTATTGGGGTAACTCACTTGATAAGAATATCTTTTAGTTTTATGTAAAAGTTTTTATATTGTTTTAAACTTTAATTTACTTGTCAGACAAGTACAGATTATAAGAACATTGTCTACTTGCTTATGAATATGTTTTGAGTGAAATAGGTAAACATATACGTATAGGTGAGTGTTGAACTAGGGCATGGGAAATGAAGGCAGCTGTGATTGCATGGGTGTTACCGTGCGCTGAAAATGTGGTGGCAGCTTCTTTATTGGCAGATGCAGCCTCTCCAATAATTTTTATATTTTCAGTCCATACCTGTTCCTGAGTCTGTGTAACCATCGTTTACTTGCAGTAGATGGCTTGATGTCATTTGTTGAAGGGGATTCCTTGCTGAAGTTTTCCTATAATAGGTTCAGTGTTTTCTAGTATAACACTACCATGAATCGGAACATGTTTTCTGTTCATGTCTTCCATTCACAAATGTAATGCCTTTCCAACTTAACTAAGCACTTATCACTCACTGTGGCCCTAATATTTACAGCTTGAGGTGCAAAACTAGCACAGATTTTTTTTTTCCTTCAGTTTCATGGATAGATTTATTCTTACCATCAATCTTAGCATCCTCAGCTTATGATTTTTTTCCCTTTCTTTTCTAAGTCAAGAACTTTCACCTTTTCACTTAGAGCACTTTTCAGCCTCTCTGCCTTTCTTTGGCATATCAGAAATGCCAGCATCACTATTCTTGAGCTTTGGGGCTATTATTAATTAAAATAAGGGTTATTTGAACAAAAGCACTCTGATAACTGAGATGGCTACTAAGGGATTAATGGGCAGGAAGTGTACAAGGTGGGGCAAAAGGAGGTTTACAGTTTGCACAGAAGGTAATACAATCCTATATAATAAAAGGCTAATATGCAAATTGTCCCTTTGGGAGTTCGACCAACCAGTAGTTCGACCACTAGCTATGACATGTGCTGACCACCAGGGGGCAGTGCAGAATGAAGGAAGGCCCCAGCTGGCAGCCAGGGGAAGGAAGGCCCTGATTGCTGGCCAGGCCTAGGGACCCTACCCGTGCACAAATTTCATGCACTGGGCCTCCAGTAATAATTAATAATACAAGAATAAACTCTGTGTTTCATGCACTCACAACTGTAAACCCACTTTGCCTTACCCTGCATATAGCAGGTTGTTGAATAATGAACGTTGTTCAGTATCGTTTCATTATAATATTGATAAGATGTGTAGGAACTTAACTCTTGTTTATATCAATAAGCCTATGGTAAAAGTGGTTTTGTTATACATTGTTTCGCTTAAAATTGCAGAAGCTATTGACATTGTTAGGTGAAGACTTACTAACAGCATGGATACCCTAGACCAGGGTTGGTAAACTGCGGCTTGGCAAACCACGGCTCGCGAGCCACATGCGGCTCTTTGGCCCCTTGAGTGTGGCTCTTCCACAAAATACCGACTTCTGCGCATGGGCCACGAAGTTTCAATCACACTGTACGTTTGGGCCCCACGTGGTACTTTGTGAAAGAGCCACACTCAAAGGGCCAAAGAGCCGCATGTGGCTTGCGAGCCTTGGTTTGCCGACCACGGCCCTAGACAAAGGGATGATTCCAGGTGGACAGAGTAAGGGAGTGGGGGCATAATCTCAGATTTGGTTATTTGTCTTATTAATGAACCAAAGCCATTTCAGGTATTCCGAACTTAGTTTACTCTAGTAATCAGGCACAGTGTCATAGCTAATATGAATTACTGTGGAATTATTTGGGGCCTGGGAATTTTGGCGAATAGTTGAAAAAGCTTACGGATCTATTCCTTAAGGAGAAACTGTGACCTGTCAGTGCTAGTGCATGTCTACCTTGGTATTCTTGTCTTCGCCACTATTCTCACTTTAGAGCTGTGATAGCTCATTCGTAGTCCTGCCAGTTCCTAGCAGAACAGGAATATCATTTTAGGGGGATGTTTAATTAATAAACACTCCCAGGTTCCCAGCATTTGGAAAACACATTTATAAGCCATGTACATTGTCAAAGACACTTGGTTTTCTATATTTTTGAGTTAATATTTCCAGAGGCATGGGAAGTGGAAAAATGGGCAATTTAGTTAAGAATTAAGTTTTATTTAGTTTTACCTAGACAACTGGTAAACTTATCATCATTATATAGAAAAGTTTTATTTATATTATATTAATATCTCATTTAAGTGTTTACTTTTTACTATAGACTATGATCTACTCACATAGGACCTAGAAATAGTACTGAACTTTTTTTTACTAGACTCTCACCTAGTTGAAGAAAACAGTGGCTAGAAAAACAAAAGGATATGGTAGATCAAGAAATGTGGTTTGTATTTTTGGTTAGTGATTATTTACTAGAAAATCTGTAGAAAGTGTTGCCATCTTGACAAAAACCGTATACAATTGTATTTTCTCAATACAATTTTTCTTTAAAAATTGATTAACTTTTGATTACTGTGATAAAGAAGAATAGGAATAGTAAAATGAAAATTTGCTGGTAGCTCTACATCTCTTTTTATTTTTATTTATTTTTATTTTATTTTTATTTTTTATTTTTTTTTATTGCTTAAAGTATTACAAAGGGTATTACATATGTGTCTACATCTCTTTTTAGTATGGCTCACATACTAAGTATTACTAAAACTTTTCCAGAGCAGTAGAAAACTGAAAAATGTAACTTGAGTTTCATACCCTGAGGTAGAGATACAGATGAATAGGAAGTAGGGAGAAAAACCTAAAGTCTAAAAGCCTTCAGTCTAATTAGCTTTTAACAGTAGATTTCAATTAGAATATACCTCATATATAATATTTGAAAAAGATGTTCATTATTATAGACTTATACTTGTAAAATATATGCTTTCTTCTAATGAATGGATATCAAGCACTTTGAAAGGTCTAAGATTTTTACTCTACTTGCAAGATAACAAGTTATCAAACCACAGTTTCATGCTGGTGTATCACATGAAACTCCTGGATCAGAGGTAAAGGACACTTTATTGCTCACAATAATAGTACCTAAGGCAGTGATGGCGAACCTTTGGAGCTCGGCGTGTCAGCATTTTGAAAAACCCTAACTTAACTCTGGTGCCGTGTCACATATAGAACTTTTTTGATATTTGCAACCATAGTTAATGGTTAATCAACCAAAAAAATGAGTTCGCGTGTCACCTCTGACACGCGTGTCATAGGTTTGCCATCACTGACCTAAGGTATCAGTTTTCTGTGGGGAGAGGGGGCGCCCTGATTTCCCGGGCACCATTCCTACTGGGTGAGGTAGAGAGGGGTAGATGCAGAGAGGCGTAGATGCCGTCTTCACACTCAATGGGCTGTGTAAAGGATAGGAATTCTGAACCTGGGAGTTCCTGTCTTTTATCACTGGCGGTGAGCTTGCTTGCCCTTTGCTCAACAGGGGACAGAATTTGTTCCAAGGGGAGTCAGTGCCTCAGCAATAACTCAAGAAACCCATGGAAAACTGTCTCTCAACAATGGGTCTGAGCTGAAATTTTTGCTTAAAACTTTATTTGTGATGCAAAGTAATGATGTAAACAAGATCACAAGAGCAAATGTTTAAAATACTTAGAAGAACTAAGTTTAAATATTCTACTTTTGCAGCACCAAATAATGCATAATTTAAGAACTTTCCAACATTTTACATTATTGAAAATAAATTAAGCACTTTAACACTTTAATTAGGATAATTTGCTATTATGCTACATGTTTTTGAAGTGAATAAAACTTTACTTTGAAAACACTGAATTTAAACTCTTAACCAATTTATACTGTCTTTCCTCTTTTTACTCCATACAGGGAGGTTTTTAGTCAGTAAAACACAAATTTCATATTATTTACACCAAACCAAAGTGAACCATTCTTAGAGAACCACCATCTCCAATTTCCTGAAAGCAAACAAATAAAAATAATTAAAAACATGTTTAAGCAGAGAGTAAAATTAAGCAACTTAATACTTATATTTTTAATATCTTTTCTTTGAATATTTAAAAACAGTGAAACAAAAGTTTAAAATGCATTATACATGCAAACAAGAGAACTGTATGTTTATCTTACTCTTAAATTTTGACACAGCATTGGTAAAAAATCAGTGAAGAGAAGTAATATGTGAGGCATGAAATGGCAAAGGAAGGAAAGGATGTTAGTTGAAACTTGGAAGTATCTGAAGGCTCCTACAATGAGAAGTTGCAAACTGTGGGTAATCATTTCTGATGCCACCTATTTGATTTTTACAATACTGTCTGTTCTACAGGTCCTATACGGCATATATTTCTTAATTTTGATGTTTTACTAAGTATTTAACAGTGGCTCTTGAGGTAATGGTTCATAGAAAAGATAATGGTTTTATAAGCCCTACATAAAATTTTCCGAAGCTGCAAAGAGCTACTAACAAGAACCTCATCCTTTTCTCATTTCTTTTTCTTTCTCCCCCAAAAGGATTTTTTATTTTTTAAATTAAATTTATTAATGTGACATCAGTTAATAAAATTATATAGGTTTCAAGTGTACAATTCTGTGATACATCACCTGTATATTATACTGTGTGTTTACCACCCAAAGTCAAATCTTCTTCCCTCATCATATATTTGACCCCAGTTACCCTTTACTACTCTCCCAGCCCCTTCCTTCTGGTAACCACCAAACTGCTGTCTGTATCTGTGAGTTTTTGTTTGTTTTTCTTGTTTGTTCCAGTTTTATATCCCACACATGGTTGCTTGATGTTTTTCTGACTTATTTTGCTTAGCATGACATTCTCAAAATCCATCCATGTTGTCACAAATGGCAGTATTTCATCTTTTCTTATGGCTGAATAGTATTCCAGTTTATATATGTTCCACATATTTTTTATCCAATCCTCTATCGAAGGACACTTTAGTTGTTTCCATGTCTTGACCACCATGGATAATGCTGCAATGACATAGGGGTGCATATAGCTTTGCAAATAAATGTTTTCAAAATTTGCAGGTAGATACCCAGAAGAGGGGTTGCTGGGTTAAAAGGTAAGTGTATTCTTAACTTTTTAAGGAACTTCCATATTTTTCATAGTGGTTGTACTAGTTTACATTCCCACCAGTAGTGACTGATATGATCGTATGATAGCCACAACCTCTCCACCACTTATTATTAGTCTTATTGATAATAGCCAAACAGATATGAGGTGGTATCTCATTGTATTACCACAGACACCACAGAAAAACAAAGCATCATACTAGAGTACTATGAAAGACTGTATGCCACCAAACTCAGTATCCTAGAAGAAATGGATAACTTCTTAGAAATATATAAACCTTCCTAAACTGAATTGAGAATAACTGGAAAATATATATGGATGGATCAATAGTGAGGATATTGAAACAACCATCAAAAACCTCCGAAAAAGTAAAAGTCCAGGACCAGATGGCTTTACTAGTGAATTCTACCAGTCAAAGAGATTTAGTATTGATAGTCTCAAACTCTTCCAAAAAATTGAAAAGGCAATATTTTGCCTTCCTAACACATTTTATAAGGCCAATATAATCCTCATACATAAACTTGGCAAGAATAACATGAAAAAGGAAAATATCTGATGAATACAGATGAAGAAATCACAAACAAAATACTAGCAATCAAATATAAAATACAGTAAAAAATACATCACAATCTAGTGGGGTTCATTACAGGGTCACAAGGATGGTTTAATTTACACAAATCTATCAATGTAATACACTACACCACATTAACAAATAAAGCATAAAAATATATCAATATATGCAGAAAAAGCATTTGACAACATTCATTTATGATTAAAACACTCAATAAAAAAGACCATATATGACAGACCTTCAGCTAATATCATACTCAATGATGAAAAACTGAAAGCTTTTCCTCTAAGATCAGGAACAAGACAGGGATGTCCAGTCTTATCATTGTTAATCAGCATAATACTGGGAAGTCCGGGCCAGAGCCATCAGTCAAGAGGAATAAATAAAAGGCATTCAAATTGGGAATGAAGAAGTAAAATTGTCACTTTTTGCAGATGACATTATTCTATATATAGAAAAAACCTAAAGATTCCATCCCCAACAAGGATTTTATGATAGGACTAGAGGCCTGATGCATGAAATTCGTGCAAGAGTAGGCCTTCCCTCCCCCGGCTGCCAGCACCAGCTTCCCTCTGGCACCCAGGACCCGGGCTTCCTTCTGGCCACTGGCAGGCACCGGGACCTGGGCTTCCCTCACAGCCCCAGCTTTGTCTGGAAGGATGTCTGGTCTAATTAGCATATTATGCTTTTATAATAATAGCACAGTGGAGACATTTAAAAAATATATATTTTTATTGATTTAATAGAGAAAGGGAGAGGGAGAGAGAAACATCAATGGTGAGACAGAAGCATTGATCAGCTGTCTCCTGCACATCCCCCACCATGGGGATCGACCCCACAACCTGGGCATGTGCCTTGACCAGGAATTGAACCGTGATCTCCTGGTTCCCAGGTTAATGTTCAACCACTGAGCCATGCTGGCTGGGCATAGTGCAGACATTTTTGAAAGTTTGGAGATAGCCGACTTAGAGTTGAAATGGTAAAGGAGAAAGGTAAAGAGAGTAGGGCTGAGGATTGTACTTAAACTAATATTTCATAATTGGAGACATTTAAAAGTTATTCCTCAAGTTATATCTTGAAAGTTCTTTTTGCTGAGAAGCCTTTCAGAAAGACATTAAATTATAGTATTTCAAATAGTTGTACCTCAAAAACCCCCACAAAAAACAAGTGTGGCTGGCAAGTAAGGGAAACATATGTATGCAAGTGTTTGTGGATCCTGATGTACAGAAAAAAAAAAAACCCCCACACCTGGAGTATCAGGTAACAATATGAATGAGTAATTTAATATTGCCTGGGGCTTGTGTGTGCGTGCTGGCTTTAGCTTTCAATTTTATGTTTTTAGCTTTCAGTTTTAAAACAAAAAATCATTTACATAAGCACTGGTATTTAAAAAAAAAACCCATAAGATCCAACTCATAGTTATAAGCTACTATACCAAAACCTATTTTTTAACACCACTATAACAGTCATTGAGAAGCCTAGACTTAGCTTTTGGTCTTGTTCAGAGATCCTAGGTAAATTTTCCTAATAACTGGATATAATTGTCGCTTGAAGGCCAGACTTTGCATACCCGGGAAGTATCTGTTTCAGCCATATTCTTGATGTTCTGTAGTGCCTCCTTCTATCCAGGCCTTAATACCTCTCTTACGTTAGGAATGACATTTAAAAACAGTTGGTTAGAGCGTGATCCCGAGGTTACAGGTTCGATCCTCAGTCAGGGCACAGACAAGAATCAACCAATGAATGCATAAATAAGTGGAACAGTAAATTGATGTCTATCTCTCTCTCTCTCTCTCTCTCTCTCTCTCTCTCTCTCTCTCTCTCTCTCTCTCTCTAAAATCAATGAAAAAAAATAAGATTAAGAAAATTAAATAAAACCCATCCTATTTTTAAAGAAGACTTCAGAGTATTTCCAAGGAAGTCTGTTTCATGCTGTAACATTGACCGATACTCTATGTATTTTATAGGAATTTTTGATGATCAATGAAATAATGTATTTTGTATACTCAGTTAATTAATAATTACTAACAACAAAGTATATTCATTAAGTAAAATTTGGAAAACATAAAGATACAAAATTTACCGTAGTCCCACCAGTCATATGAAAACTATGGTTTCAAATACACATGAACCAGTTTCTTTTTTTCCACATATATGTTTTATTTGTTTTTAAAACAGCAGAAATCATATTGTATTTACAATTCTCTGTATTTTTGGCTTGGGTTTTTTGGCTTCACTTTATTCTTCAATGCTCTCACACAGTCTCTGTTTTTAATGGCTAACTGTTACTTCATTAAATACTATAGTGCTCCTTAGTCATTCCTTTTATTTTTTGTTAAACTTATAGTTTCCATTTTCTTCTTTTTTATAAATAATACTATGAAAGACACTTAGGCATGAAGTGTTTTCTTTGTTTAGGAGTATTTCCTTGCTATAGAGCTTTAGCAGTGGAATTAAAGGACCAAAATTCATGAAATGTTAGGCCCCTGGGTAAACAGTATAGAAGTGGTGGTTTTGGTTTGTTTCTTCCCTAGTTTGGGAGGAGGTGATTTTTTTTGTTAATAGGAAGTTGTAGTTTCAACAGAGACTGATCTTCATTTGATTAAGTTCTGAAGCTGCACTCACCCTTGACTGAATGGCATGTTAATTCATGCAATAATTTAATACAACAAAAGGGTTTTCCCCAGTCCCTCATTTGAGCTCTCCATATAGTTAAGTATATATTCTGAGCCACACCCTGTTGCTGTTACCTAATGTTGGGCAATACCAGGTCACCTTTCTTTTTAAATGTATACAAACTTTCGTAAGCAAACTGCAGACAAGTTAAGGTTTGCTTTGCTACAAACTGGATTTTGACCTATTGCTCATTTAATACAGTCATCTTTTATTAAAAAAATGTAGACATTGGCAAAAGACCTGAATAGATACTTCTCCAAAGAGGACATACATATGGCCAAAAGAAATATGAAAAGGTGCTCAACGACATTAATCATTAGAGAGATGCAAATTGAAAGCACAATGAAATATCACCTCACACCTGTCAGAATGGATATTATCAAGATATCAATAAACAACAAGTGTTGGCGAGGATGTGGAGAAAAGAGAACCCTGAGGATGTGGAGAAAGGGAACCCTCATGCACTGTTGGTGGGAATGCAGACTGGTGCAGCCACTATGGAAAGCAGTATATAGAGTTACCTCAAAAAATTAAAAAATGGAACTGCCTTATAACCCAGTGCTTCCACTTCTGGAATTTATCCAAAAACCCAAAACACTAATTTGAAAGAATATATGCACCCCTATGTTCATTGCAGCATTATTTACAATAGCCAAGATGTGGAGCAGCCAAAATGCCCATCAGCGGATGAGTGGATGAAAACGGTGGTACATTTACACAATGGAATACTACTCGGCCATAAAGAAAGAAGGAAATCTTACCCTTTGAAATAGCATGGATAGACCTGAAGAACATTATGCTTAGTGAAATAAGCCCACCCGAAAACGACAAGCACCATATTATTTCACTTGTATGTGGAATGAACAAGATAAACTAACAAAACAGAAATAGACTCAGAGAGAACAGACTGATAGCTGTCAGAGGGGAGGGTGGTTGAGGGCTGGTAAAAAAAAGTGAAGGGATTAAGCAAGAAAGAGCAATGTGAATAGGATTTCTGTCTTTTTTTCAAAACCCTATTTGAGGACATGTTTAGTTTTTTCAGTTTTCTAACACAGCATTCTTGAGTGTGAATCAAGTGCAAGAAATGTTTCTATTTAGATGAATGTACTATTTGCATGTTTTTAAAAATTAGGTCAGTAAGAACAATAATAATGTTTTAGAATTTACAAAATGCTTTCATATTACCTAATTTGACATAATCCTATGATATTAATACAATTACTCCCATTTTACAGATAAGGAAGTAGGTATACAAAATGTGTGGCAATGAAGAAGAAGGGGCAAGAAACTGGAACTGAGACAGTTTGCCTACAAATCCTTCAAATTCTTTCTATGTTATACCAGTATGCCTCTCAAAGCACTACCATTTCCCTTTTTTTGTCTTAGCCTCCCCAAATTCAGAGCTAAAACTCAGTTTTAATATTGAATATCAATATAGATATGTCCATAAAGAAGACTGGAACAATGATATCGATGATTATTAGTAGTATTAGTAGATATAAGTGAATTTGAGTTTACATACACCATTCTCTATACTTTGGTATAAGTTTGAAATTATACAGAATTAAGTTTAATAATGTACTAGTTCCATACAATTAGCAAAGTCCTACCACATACATGGTCACAATGGAGTTTCATGAAAAACCTGTGGTGTATGTGAAATTATCTCTATTTTGCAGATGAGGAAGTTGTGGCTAACAGAGATGCAGTGATTTTTCCAAACTATAATGCTAGTGGTTGTGGAACTGTCTTTCAAACTCAAGTTTCATAGTGAATCAGTTACTGTAATCCACTATGAGTTTTTAATAAAATGGTGAGGCTTTCTCTGACTTACACCTAAGCTTTCTGAAATTGGTCTAACAGGTCATTGATACCGTCCCTCAAAATGAACTTCAATGTAATGTCAGTGGCATAATATGGCGAGGGACCTCACATGCATTGCTTATTAATATTACACATGGATGTGATAAAAATGACAAGGATAATTTGTCATCACAAATTTTTCATTTTTAAACTTAATTCTGGATAAGTTCAAACTTATACCAAAGTATAGAGAATGGTGTATGTAAACTGCTATATTACTCATCACCCACTTTCATCAATTATCAACTCATGTGACTTAAATTCTCTTATACCCCACCCCCAACTGGTTTGGCTCAGTGGATAGAGCGTCCGCCTGTGGACTGGAGGGTTCTAGGTTCGATTCCGGTCAAGGGCACATGCCTGAGTTACGGGCTCGATCCCAAGTAGATGGCACGCAGGAGGCAGCCTATCTATGATTCTCTCTCATCACTGATGTTTCTATCTCTTTCTCCCTTTCCCCTCCTCTCTGAAATCAATAAAAATATATTTTAAAAAAAGCAACAACAACAACAACCTCATACAGTATGCTTTTCTCTTGGAATTTAAGATCTTATAAGAAACAGTAATAGAAAGTGTTTTACCTGTCCTATGCAGTCTTCTCTTATTTCTCCTTCTAAAGTAAAAGATCACAAGATTAATTATCTTAAAATCTAATAAAGGACCTTAACAAAAATTTTTAACAGAATCTTTTAAAATCCTCACTAAGCAGAGAAATACTTAAAACAATCATAATGTAAACACATTAAAATACTAAAAACTCAGAGAAAGCAATAACCAAACCTCAAAATAGTAATAAAGTAACAATTATTCTACATACATGTTATGGCCAATATCTACACTGAAATCAAATGAACAGACTATGACTACGTTGTGCCTTTTCTCATTAAAATGGTGCCTTAAAACTTGCATAGCAATTAAGTTTCATCTACGTGCCAATTCTGGTTGATTAGTGGTGGTTATCCAGGGAACTGTGGAACTGTGTTGAGAAGTTTTATGAGGATTTATTATTTCCACTTTGCTTAATGGAAAAGAATACTGTATTTGATTAATGGCAATCTGCTCTCAAAGCAGTGATATACCTGCTGGCCCTGGCTTAAGACATCAAAATGATGCTTTTAAGAGACTTTATGTCATTAGGCTAAGAGAAAAGAACTGTCATTACAGCCATGATCTAATGTCTCACTATTGATGGGTATCAGGCAGACATCAATGTACATATTCTCATTCTTGAAACCAGTAACTGCTGGCATTTATAAGTCCCAATACAGTACTTAGTGCATGCATGCATGTACCACCCATCTGGCACTATGCTGATGTTAACTTGCAAGTTTTCTGAAGCTTATCAGCAGCATTTTATTCCTCGTAATCCTGTCACCAAGAAGTGCCTTGATGATGATAATATTTCTGTAATAGTGTGTGTGTTTTCTGTCTGTCTGTGTTCTCTTTTAACTGACTAGCTTCTTTACATGATTTTTTTTTATTTCTTTGTCAAGCAGTTCATGGATCTCTTTCTTTGGGGTCGCTTACTAGAACTCTATTAATTTCCTTTGATACTGTTGTATTTGCCTACATTTTTGTGATCCTTATAGTCTTGCATTGGTGTCTGTGAATTTGAAGGAGCAAGAACCTCTTCTGTTCTTCACAGATTATTTTTGGCAGGTGAAGACCTACTCCTGCCAGGCAACCAGATATACAGGCTTGCCTCTAGGATGACAGCTGAGCAGGGCCAGGGCCAGGCCATGCGGCTGCTTCCAGTTTCACAGTGACATCCTTGGTGGGCTGGCCTGTTACTTGTGCCAGTGTATCTCGCGCCAGGTCCCCAGGTGATTGGGGCTACTTCTGGGTCCATGTTGGCAGGCTTATTACTTGGGGTGCAGATCAGCATGTCTCTCCGCAGGTCCCCCGAGAAGACTACCTCTGAGATTGAGCAATTGGAGCTGGTCATAGGGTTGCTCCCAGGTCCACAGTTGGGTCTGCAAACAGTGGACCTGTTATTGGGGTCATACATGATGTGGTTCCTGCTCCATGGGGCTGGTAGTATGACCATGAGTGAGTGGGGCAGAAGCTATGATCCCAGGGGGATAGAGCTGTTCCTGGGCCTGCAGTCAGGTCTGTATTCTTCAGGCCTGCTACCAGGGTTTGGGTGCACCTTGTCAAAGTGTTTTTCCTTGGTCTTGGGCTCCACTAGGGTTTGCAACTTCCTATTTGGATTTTGAAGCTCTTGGATTGGCCCTTTTGTTCATGGATGGTTGCCAATTTAGTGTTTCTGTGGGGGAGTGAGGGGTCTCATATTCTGTTATGTTGCTAGTAACCATGAACTTTCCATTTCAACTTTAGTGCTGGCCTTGTTGAATACAATTAACTCTACACTTTTCTTAAAATTCAAGGGAAAACAAACTTAGAGGGAAAATACCATTTTTTTCTACTGAGAATCCCATATCTTTAAACCATTAATACAAAAAAAAATCACTTTAAATTATTTATTCAAGGGCCCATCCTTTATGAGAATCATTCCATTGAAATTGTGCCTTCATAGGTGAAAACAGTGTTGGAGTGACAGTATTTTGAGTCAGAGATGGGACCATATATGGAACAGGCTTTGTGACATACAGTTAGTAGACCTGTGTGTGTGTGTGTGTGTGTGTGTGTGTGTGTGTGTGTGTGGAGCGGGGGGGTGGGGGGGGTGGGGTGGGGGGAGGAGCGGGCGGAGAGAAACGTTAGCACTGCTACATGCTTGTCACTATGCAGCACTGCTTTAAAAATTCTTCTCTCTCTCCTATCCACTTCCCTCAGATGCTGAAGTTGCTCTCATGGGTTGCCTTCCCTGGCCTATCCAGAAGGAAAGGATAGGCATGTGAAGACAGGAAGCCACAGAGAAGGATGAGAGAGGCATGTGGTGTTTGTATTGCCATCACATGCCCCTCTTGTCCTTCTCTGTGAGTTCCTTTCTTCTGGATTTTGCATTCCAACGTCTCAAAGATTTAGTCCAGCAGAACTGGCCCATTATCAGAGGGAAAGGTAAGGAAATGAGTAGGCCAAGCTTAGAGTCATCTTTAGGGGACAGTGAAAACTTGCAAAGAGTAACTACCTTTGTCCCTTCACAGCCCGTCGTCTGTGTGTTACTTGTGCCTCCATTTTCATAATATCTCATGCGATTGCTTTTGCATGTTGCAGTTGTATTTTGCAGGCCACCAACTCAGCTGGACTGGAGGTGATTACTGTGTTACTTAATTTTTTTTTTTGGTACCAGTTTTAGGGAGTATATTACATGAATGCCTTCTGTTATCGTACTATGTACATTTCTTTCTTATTGAATTGGGCAAAAATCACACCACTTTTCTCAGTGGCCCTCAGAGCCTGGTTTCTCAGAGTGTAATCTCCAGGCCAGCAGCATCTACATCACTCGAGAGCTTGTAGAAATTCAGAATTATAGGTTCCCCCCAACCTACAGAATGAGAATTAATATCGTAATAAGATCCTCACATTTATTTGTATATTCACTAAAATTAAGTTTTTGTTATAAGCAGCTATTTTGCATGATACCAACCAAGTCCCCGTCTTATAGCAACCCAACTACAAATGCCCAGGCCTTTCTTATTTTCACTCATTTACTGAATGCGCTCGCCAGGTATCATCCCGTTTTTCTGTTACACTTTTGAATGCTTTGGGTACCGTGGGTACCATTACCTTTCTTAAAACAGGCCTTACCCATCAAAGATTCAGCACAGGTGTCTTTTTCAAGTTCATTCCTTCTGTCAAATACTTGTCTGTTGTGTAAGTTTTTTTTTTTTTTAATTGGGTCAAGGATAAAAAAGAAAATTATATAGTTAAATATGTTATAGATTTTTAAATATTGAATATTTTCAAACTTCAGAAGTTCTAAAAAATATAATTGAAAATTTCCTTGGAACCTTTCAACAATGTAATAATTTAAATACCATAATGTTAAAAACACTGAAAACTGATTTTAATTTTCCCACCACTAAGTATTTCATAGGACATTTTGAAGAGTATTAAATCCAACTTTAATATACAAATAAAATATTTTATACATAATTTTCAAGAACGTCATATAATTTGAATCACACATAATGTTTGTGACTAGCTTCTGTCACTCAGTATAATGCCCTTATATTCATCCAAGATGTTACATGTATCAATAGTTTGTTACATTTTATTGCTGAGTAGTACCAGTTTGTTTGTTCACCTATTGAAGGATATTTATTTCCCCAGGTTTTGGCAATTATGAGTAAAATGGCTATAAACATGCATGTACAGGTTTTTATGTGACATGAATATTTGCCCTACAGAAATGAAAACTCAAGAATAGCATTGTTTCTCTCTTTCTTGACATAGAAAGGTATGGGAACCTAGATTTAAAAATAACTGCAGGAGCCCTGGCCGTGTGTCTCAGTTGATTGAGCGTTGTCCTGTGCACCGAAGGGTCGCCGGTTCAATTCCTGGTCAGGGCACATACCCAGACTGTGGCTTCCATTCCCCAGTTGGGATGTATATGGCAGCAACTGGTCAATGTTTCTCTCTCACATCAGTGTTTCTCTCTCTCTCCCTCTCCCTTCTTTTTTCTCTAAAATCAATAAAAAAAACCCCACACAAAATACTTAATTCTTAAAACAAACAAACAAATAAACTGCAGGAGATCATATCTGAGAATATGCTTTCGGGGGTGGGGGGTGGGGAAACCCTTGAAGTGAATCTTTTAAAAATGGAATTGAAAGTCATAATAAGTAATGACAATTTGACTAAAAGTAAAAGGTAAAAACATATAGATGAGCTTTTTTTATCTTATATAAAATGAGTTATAATTTCAATTCTGCATGAATTCTGAGAAGACACAAAGAGTAACTCAGATTGATTAGACGGGTGAGAAGAGGTGCTAGTGCAAAAAAGAACAGCCGACCAGACTGTCTAAGAGCATGAGGTATATGGCATCTTTGACTTGACAACAGACATTATAAAAGGGGGTGATTTTTTTCAATAAGTATTTTAAGGATTTTATTTTTAAGGCTTCTATTAATACTGCACTAATAAACTAATTTTCTTTTACAATTCTTTTAATTTTATTATCCTTGTGGTTTTTGAATGAGATCTACAAACAGTTACCCATTTTATTGACTTCATGAAACAGTCTTTTTTTTTTTTTTTTTAAATAAATTTTTATTGATTTTAGAGAGAGAAAGGGAGATGGAGCGAGAGAAACATCTGTGAGAAACATTGATTGGCTGGGGACTACTGGGGTTCTAACCCACAACCCAGGCAAGTGCCCTGACGGGGAACTGAACCAGTGACTTCCTGGTGCATGGGCTGATGCTCAACCACTGGGCCACACCAGCTGGGCCATGAAACAAGTTTTATGTTTTGTGCAAAATTTTCAGTTGTTTTGAAATATGTCTGCTTTATATGTTGGTTGTTTACATAGCTGACAATCAGTGAAAGCACTGATGAACTAACAATTAATAGGTGAAGAGAAATGCTAGTCTTCACTGGGGAGTAATGGACTAAGTTTACAAGTAGTTCATTCTTTTTTAAAAAATCTTTATTGTTGAAAGTATTAAAGATATCGCCTTCTTTTCCCCACTGATGCCTTCTAGCCTGCACCCGCCCCACCCCAGGCCTTCACCACACTATTGTCTGTGTCCGTGGGTTATGCATATATACATATGAGTTCTTTGATTAATCTCTTCTCATCCACCCAACCACCCACCGCTGCCTTCCCTCTGAGATTCAATATCCGCTTAGCATAATACTCTCCAGGTAAAATATTTCACACGATGAGGACTTTAACCACCGTTTTAGATAATAAGTAAGGGTGCTCTATAGTTTAAATTTTGTATTTTCAATGAAAAGTTATGAAGTTTGAGTGCTCTGAGTTTTGTGGAAGAAAAATACTATGCAAATAGTACATATCACATGAAGTCCACTAATAAAGGATTAAGGTTTCAGAATATATAACATTAACAAGGCTTTGTACATGAAATTATACTTTCATTTGGCTTAGTTAATAAAAAGAATACATTCTAAACCAAAACACTGCCACTTAGAATATATAGATTTTGGAGTTTTGGGAGAGCTATGAATCTGTAAAGCAGTTGATTTCCCCAGAGCTTTTCTTGAGACACATTAAAGCAGCGGTTCTCAAACTGAGGGTCGCGACCATCGGAAAACACATATAGCATACGAGATATTTACATTACGATTCATAACAGTAGAAAAATTACAGTTATGAAGTAGCAACGAAAATAATTTTATGGTTGGGGGTCACCACCACATGAGGAACTGTATTAAAGGGTGGCGGCATTAGGAAGATTGAGAACCACTGCAGGAACAGGGAAATGTAACTTCTCTTCACAATAAGATTTACTTAGTGGGCCAGAAAGCAAAAATAAGAAAATTCATAGGAGACCAGATTAGGCTGAGAGGAAATGGAAATCCTCTTTTTGTTTTTCAGCTCCCATTTGCTTTCTCACATGGTCTTGATCAGCTTTCTTGAGCATAGCCAGAGGTTCAGTGAGAACCTGTAAACATCTCCAGGCTGTCAAATTGCCGATACCCTTTAATTTTTGGTTTAAAAGAGCTTAAGATGGTCTATCTTCTTTGGAAGTATGTTTAAGATTGGCTAGTTTTTTAGTCAGATACTGAGACTTAGAAAAAGATGTCTCTACTTAGTTTCTAGTTTTACAGGCAGCAAATCATAACACACCTACGTGGGAATAATATGAACTTAACCAGTTCTAGAAACCTTCCGTACATTCCACATTTATTTCAGTTTAAGATGCAGAACTGAACTTCCTAGACATATGCCAGACGTGTTCCTCTTATGCCAGGTTAACAAGAATTGCGAGGCCGAGAGGAACACACAAGGTCAGCTGCGGCTGAGCTAGAAGAGGCAGCAAGCTGCCGGGTTTCCTGTTGGCAGGGGCAATTGTATGGAGCCCGTCTTCATGAATTATAGTCTGTCAATTTTTTTTTTTCTGGTAAATCTGCTAGGCATTCTGTTGACAACATCTTTATGTAAATACTGAAAAATTTCATCCATTATATTTATAGGCACACATCAGGATTCTAAATAGAAGGATATTTTTTTTTTTTTTTTTTTATTGCTTAAAGTATTACAAAGGGTATTACATATGTGTCCATTTTATCCCCCCGCCCTAGACAGTCCCCTAGCCTCCCCTATCCCCCAATGTCTTATGTCCACTGGTTATGCTTCTATGCATGCATACAAGTCCTTTAGTTGATCTCTTACCCCCCTACCTCCTGCCCCGCAACCCTCCCCGGCCTTCCTGCTGTAGTTTGACAATCTGTTTGAGGCAGCTCTGCCTCTGTATCTATTATTGTTCAAAAGTTTATAATGGTCTCTATTATCCATGAATGAGTGAGATCATGTGGTATTTTTCCTTCATTGACTGGCTTATTTCACTTAGCATAATGCTCTCCAGTTCCATCCATGACGTTGCAAATGGTAAGAGTTCCTTCCTTTTTAGAGCAGCATAGTATTCCATCGTGTAGATGTACCACAGTTTTCTAATCCATTCATCTACTGATGGGCACTTAGGCTGTTTCCAGATCTTAGCTATGGTGAATTGTGCTGCTATGAACATAGGGGTGCATATATCCTTTCTGATTGGTGTTTCTGGTTTCTTGGGATATATTCCTAGAAGTGGGATCACAGGGTCAAATGGGAGTTCCATTTTCAGTTTTTTAAGGAAACTCCATACTGTCTTCCATAGTGGCTGCACCAGTCTGCATTCCCACCAGCAGTGCACAAGTGTTCCTTTTTCTCCACATCCTCTCCAGCACTTGTCGTTTGTTGATTTGTTGATGATAGCCAGTCTGACAGGTGTGAGATGGTACCTCATTGTTGTTTTGATTTGCATCTCTCGGATGATTAGTGACTTTGAGCATGTTTTCATATGTCTCTTGGCTTTCTGAATGTCCTCTTTTGAAAGGTGTCTATTTAGGTCCTTTGCCCATTTTTTGATTGGATTGTTTATCTTCCTTTTGTTAAGTTGTATGAGTTCCCTATAAATTTTGGAGATTAGGCCCTTATCGGATATGACATTGGCAAATATGTTTTCCCACACAGTGGGTTTTCTCGTTGTTTTGTTGATGGTTTCTTTTGCTGTGCAGAAGCTTTTTATTTTGATGTAGTCCCATTTGTTCATTTTCTCTTTAGTTTCAAGTGCCCTAGGAGCTGTATCAGTGAAGAAATTGCTTCGGCATATGTCTGAGATTTTGTTGCCTTTGGATTCTTCTAGAATTTTTATAGTTTCCTGTCGTACATTTAAGTCCTTTATCCATTTTGAGTTTATTTTTGTGTATGGTGTAAGTTGGTGGTCTAGTTTCATTTTCTTGCATATATCTGTCCAATTTTCCCAGCACCATTTATTGAAGAGACTATCTTGGCTCCATTGTATGTTCTTGCCTCCTTTGTCAAATATTAATTGAGCATATTGGTTCGGGCCGATTTCTGGGCTCTCTATTCTATTCCATTGATCTATATGCCTATTCTTGTGCCAGTACCAGGCAGTTTTGAGAACAGTGGCTTTGTAATACATCTTGATATCTGGTATTGAGATCCCACCTACTTTGGTCTTTTTCAGGATTGCTGCAGCTATTCGAGGTCTTTTTTTATTCCAGATGAATTTTTGGAGAGTTCGTTCTAGATCTCTGAAGTATGCCGTTGGTATTTTAATGGGAAGTGCGTTGAATTTATAGATTGCTTTGGGTAGTATGGACATTTTAATGA